TTATATACAGTATTTGCTTTCTGTATTCTTTTTTGTAAAGTTTGTAAATCAACATCTACAAAATAGGTCAAAAGTTCTCTATAGACTTTTGATTTTGCCTTGTTTATAGTTATTCTAGTACTGTTTAAAAATTTTTTACTTGTTTTTTAAACCTTTTAGTATAATGATACCAGGATAATATTTTAGCTTGGTTTGCATATATTGTATATTCTTTATTATAATTTGCTTTATTATATAGTAAAACCAAGCCTGATGTTGTATCATTTTTCTCAACAACACTTTGGATATATCATTAACAAGAGTTTTTAATTGCTTAAAAATTTTTTAAAAATTTTTATCTTTCTTATCACGGTTGAAACAGATGAAGTAGATACTACTGATATGATAGATTCAGTATATATAAATTTGTTATGTATAGATTCAGTATATGTAGATTCAACATATATAGATTCAGTAGATATAGATTCAATAAAAGATAATATAACAAATACTACAGGTACTATAGATATAGCAAATACTAAAGATATAGTAGAAGTAGATACTAAAAACATAGTAAGTGCTAAAGGTATAGTAGATGCTGTAGATATAAATATAGCAGGTATTATAGGTATAGTGAATATAGTGAATACTGTAAATGCTAGATGTATAATAAATATTATAGACATTATAAGTATATTAAGTATAAATACTATAGGTATCATAAGCGTAGTAAGTATTACTATAGAGTTTATTTTAATTATTTATAGTACTTGTGTATAATCTCTATAGCTAGCTAATTATACTGAAAAAGATGTTTAAGAATACTCTAAATTGAACTATATTCTCATAATGGCTTTTTCAAACAACAAATAATATAATAAGCATTATTATATAAAAATAGAACCATTAAAAAATTTAAGTATAAAGTTATTTTTTAAAATATATTTGAGGAAATTTCTGAGTATGTTAATTTAGAAGAAAAAGATACTTGCACAGTTTGTCAAGATATAATTAGTTCAACTCTTCAAGAATCAATTACAATTTTAACATGTTGGTATTTTTTTCACAAAAAATATATAAGCTATTGGGTTGTTGATTTAAAACTTTTTTGTTCTAATTGTTGAAATGAGGCAGATATTAAAAACAAGACTGTTAAAAATTTAATAAATACTAAAATAATAATAAAAACTTTAATACTACTATAATAATACTTACTACGCTTATGATACACAACTATGAGCTATGATAAAGGATTATATCTTAACTAGCATACATAGACAA